TTTTCTCAAAAATGTTAGTTAATTTTTTTTGTGTCACCAATTGACCTTTATCTTTTTCCCATTCAATTGTTATTTAAAGCCCAAAATGTACTACTTAAACATTTTAATTTTGTGCTGTCGTGGATTTTTTAATTATTTTACATTCCTGGTATTTTCTTATCAGCTGCTGGCGCACACGTATTCGTGTATATATAGTGTGCATCTTTGTGTGTGAGTGTATGAGAAGGCTATTAATATCATTAAATTGCCGACTTTGGACACTTTGACTATGCTGTCTGTGACATTTGCTGCTATCACATTTGCCGCATCTCCAAATCACATCGCTGACCAAGCATTAATGTTTGTTCATTCCTCGCCGATTTTTCTTTCTTTCTTTTTTTTTCAAAAACCCATTTATTGTTTGACGGGCGTTTGCAATTTGAAGTTGAATGGCTTTTGAGGGAGGGAGGAGCACAATGGACTATCTGTGGGTAGCGTAAGATCGATAGCAGCTGTGCATGAATGTGGCATGTAAACATATGTCTCTGAGTGTGCTTGTGTATATGTACATACATATATTCACCGTTCGACACTTGACATTAGTGTAGTTAAAGCAAAAGTGTCCATTACTATGCCATTAAGGACGTAATTGTGGCATTTAGAAAAGCATTTTTTTCCTTTTTATTTGTGTGTTTGTTCGACAACTTACCACCCGGAATGAGCAGTAGTAACAACAACATAAAAAAATAGTGCAATTAAATGTTCTTAGACGGTTATGAGCTCTTCTAAGTGTAAATTATAATGTGAAGCGTTGAAAATTTATTTTCTCATATTTTTATTAAACTGCCCACTGTTGGTGTGTACGTGTATGTGTAGGCAGATAGGTATATATGAATGTTTGTCTATAATTAAGCTTAATCGCTTTGTAATCACCCAAGCTTTCATAATTACCCAATGGAGAGTTAATTGCTTTGAGATAATATTCTGAAGATTTAATAAATAATCGTGCAGTGAAACGTAAAGCTTTTCTTTGCTAGACGTTGAACTCTATAACATCGTGGGTGCTTCCAATTAGAAGATCATAGTTTTTAGGGTAATAACTGACAATAGAAGAAAAATCATACAGAAAGGTACAAAGCAATTGCATGCCAAAACTTATTACTAATGGAAGTTACTACGAAAAAAATATATTTTTAGGCAAGAAAAACCTCTTAAAACTATATATTCCTACATAAATACTTCTAAAAAATATTTTAGAAATACTCCAGTTTTTTCACAAAATTAAGCTGAAAGTTTTAAAACAAATAAAAAATTATAAAAAAGCGATACAAACTGCTAATTTTGTTCTCAAAAATTTTACTCGGAAAAAATAGCTCAAAGTATTAGCCGAAAAAAAAAGATTATAAAAAATACTCCGAAAAAATATTCCTAATTTTCTTTCTCAAAAATTTCACTTGGAAGGACATAGCACAAAGTATTAGCCGAAAGAAGGGATTTTAAAAAATACTCCGAAATAATATTCCAAATTACTCCGAAAAAAATTATACTCCGAATTTTTTATAATTGTCTCCGAAATTCGGCCAACAATGTTTAGATGTTCTACAAATGATGTTATAAAAAATGGGAATGCTGCTAGTAACCTGAAAGCATAAACTCCGAAACGTTGTACGCCGAAAAATGGTACACCGAAAAAATACACACAAAAATGTATTAGGAAAAAATATACTCCGAAAAATATTCAAAACATTTTCATACGAAAATTTAATTCAAAACGAAAGTTGCTCTGAAAAACTTTCTGCAAAATATTTGCAACAACATCAATATGTAATTTTAAAATTTTTTCACCTATTTTTTCATTCCTGTTGCTATTCATATTACAAACTAAATTTACTGGAAAATAATTTGTTATGAAAAACACATTGAAAATGTTACTTACAAATTTATTACAATAAAGAGTACTTCGAAAAGGGTACTTCGGAAAATATTACTCCGAAAAATATTATTTAGGAAGAAAGTACTCCGAAAAAACAAGTTCCGAAAAATGCATTACAGATAACTTCCTAATCTGCTTTATACTTCAAAGTATTACTTGAATTAAGCATTCTGAAAGCATAAACTCCGAAGAATACATCGAAAAAATACTCAAAAGATTGCTATCGAAAAAAATTTACTCCGAAAAATATGCTCAAAATTTATTCCTACGAAATATTGCTTCCAAAAAAAAATTTCTATATAAAACTTACTCAAAAACATTTAAAACAACATCGAAATGAAATTTTAGAAATTTGTTAACCTATTTTTTCATTCCTGCTATTCATAATACAAACTATGTTTACCCCGAAATAAATTCTTTTTTATATCTACCAAATATTAGGCGGATTGTAAATGCAAAATAATTTAAGCAGATTATTGCATGTATTAACGTAAATACATATAAGCACGCACAGCCATATCTCACAATAATTCCCATTATGACCAATGACTGCTCTCAATAAATATTTTATTATTTTATGCTTTAAGTCCCTTTGCTGACTGTGCCAAATAATCAGGCTTTGCATGCCTGTTTATAATTAATTGCACTTCATGCGTGTTGCATATTGAAAAAAATATATAAAGAAAATATGTGCGGAATGCTGTGTGCGTATGCTTTGTTTACCTGTCACTGCAATTCGCTATGGCGCTGAGTGGGCTGTACATGAGTGCAGACTATGAGGGAGATGATGAAAAAATATTTAATATAAAATATTAAAAAAAAATTATATAAAAATAACAGCAAAATATCATAAAAATTTAAACTCACATGAAGAAGAAGCTAAAATCAACTTATAAAAAAAAAAAAAATAATTCAAACCACTCCTGAAAACGAATTGCATTCGCTACAGCCATACAAAGAAAAAATTATGCATACCTCTGATCCGTCAAACTTGTGCGCGCCACTCTTAATCCATCAGCCAACAACCATCACCACCACCACCACTACATACATACAAAAGCATACTCGCCTACATGTGTGTGCAAAAGCTTAAATTTTTTCCACATCTCCACACACATACATACACTGCCCCATCCCAACTGACGGCGCCACCACAAGTCGTTTGCGTGTAAAGTGTGAAAACTGTCAGCAAACTTAAAAGTTCAATCAACTTTATGCACGCGAATTGACATAATGCATAGTAAACACAAAAAAAATTATAAAAATGATAACAAAAAATTTAAAAAAAAATCGATTTGAATTCCAGTATATTTTACAAAAAAAGAAAAAATTATTAAACAGAAAAGTAACCCAACCAGCCATGAATAAATATTAGTCTCAACTTTGAGATATGTCTCCACTCCTATAAATTTTGAATTCTTCCCTAAGTTATGGAAAAATTTTTAAATAATTTTTCTGGTCAATTTCAGCTCTTGCCTCAATACCTGTTGGCTATCCAAGCTCATCAACAATTAAAGCATTATTTCTCCATCTGAATAATATCATTGGAGATGAAGGTGAGAATTATATTTTTCTCAAGTTGAGAAACACTTTTTCCTTGAGATTATTGTCACCCCTGCTTGAGTTGTAATGAGAAAAAATTGATCAACTTCGAATAAAAAAAATTCTAAAAAAAGTTCAAATTATACTAAAGCTTAAAGGCTTATTGGTTACACAAATTTTAAGCCCATAACTTATAGCATATTTTTTATTTTTAGCTCGTCTTTTTTTATGTCATGCCATAATTTTAGTTTCAAATAAATGTGTTTTTGTGAATTTACTCAGCGACACAAATAAAAATTTAATGATTAAACCACATATTAACAATGTACATATATATGCATGTAGTTACAATATCAGCATCACACGCATGAGATATGTAAGTACAAATGTTCGTACTTACTACCTACCACAAAGACATACCGTCATATATATGTGTAAATATATGTACACTTTAAAAAATGTGGGTCACCAAAGGCATGCCACACCTTACCACGCGACATGTTGTGTGGCGTCACGGCATGCAATGCTAATGAACTAACAAAAAAATCAAGCGACAACAACAAATATTATATGTGTGATTAACAACAACAGTTACATACAATATACCGCTAAATAAAGAATTCATAATTTGGCAAAAACACGTAATAAAAACCGGCAATATTTTTTTTCTTTGCTTCAAACTCCAAAGCGAAGTAGGTGAAGTGTGAAGCGTGGTAATTTATTAGAACTGTAAATTGATGAGCTGAACGGTAATTCAAGATTTCGGATAGAATAATGAATGATAGAGAAATTTATTTGAGGCAAATTTAATGAATTTAAAGATTTTAAAAATATTCTTTACTACAGCATAAAAAATTTATGCATTTATTCAATTTTCGATACTAATATTATGTTATTTTATTTTTTTTAATTTATTTTATTTTGTATTCTGTTTTCTCTTATTTTTTTATTTAATTTTTTTTTTGTGTAATTTAATCCATTTTCTTATCTTTTCATATTTATTTCATTTTCTTATTTTGTTTTTTTTATATTATTTTATAATATTTATTTATTTCAGTTTTTTCTATTTTATTTTATTTTGTTTTATTTTATTTTATATTATTTTATTTTATTTTATTTTATTTTTTTATTTTATTTTATTTTATTTCATTTTATTTTTTTTATTTTATCTTATTTTATTTTATTTTATTTTATTTTATTTTATTTCATTTTATTTTATTTAATTTTATTTTATTTTATTTTATTTAATTTTATTTTATTTTTTTTATTTTATTTTATTTTATTTTATATTATTTTATTTTATTTATTTTATTTTATTTTATTTCTTTCTTTTATTTTTATAGTTTTGTTTTAATTTATTTATTTTTTTACATCCGGCATCATTCAGGGTTAAGTCTCATTTATGGTATATATAAACAGTCAAGCAGCTTGGAAAGCTTTTTTGTCTCATTTAAACAAGGAGATCCCTTTTTCTTTCTTTCTTTATGTATATATTATCTTTAAGAATAAAAAAAAACTATTTTATTCCTTTATTTATATTTTGCAGATCATTCCTAACTTCCAACATTACTTCCTGTGAACAAGTCTGACCTACAGCGTTCAAATAAGGTAAATTCAAAGCTCAATGCTCTATTTTGATATATATATATTGGTCCAGTAAGAAGTCATCCATTAATTTTTATTAATTCGAAAGCTTTATTTACCAACGTCAGAGTTAATCGATTTATGTCAAAAAGCACGGTTTTGCTCGTTAACTCTCCGCCATTTTGAAGATAATATCGTTATTATTCTCTCGTGCAAACCCTTGTACCTGGTAAAAAATAATTGGGGCAATCGATTTTAACAGACTTCTCTTGAGTTCAATTCCTCACCAGCAAAATCATTCGCCATGGACAGATGATAATCACTTAGTGCTCGGCTCAGCCTATAATGTGGATGCATCAAAACCATCCAACCGAGCTTCTAGCGAGGAGTCACTATCGCTGTGTGTTAAGTCTGGCGCTGATCTGATGAAACACAATTCCCTTCCTGTTGGACAAATCTGGGCGCTTCCGGGCGATTGTCTCCTTCAGGTGGTCCAAGAAATGACAGTGTTTGGTCATAGGAGAGCAGTTCATGGCAAGGGCCAATCCCACGAAACACATAACAAAACCTGGCTGACCATCAATCCTGACTTTGCGACCATTTGTGTCATCTCACTTGTCGTTCGACCATGAGAATTTCCATTTGACGTTGCTGTAGAGATCTACTTTTTATCACCATCTGCTTTGGAAATAAGTAAATTTTTGTTACTATTCAGCAGCGATTTGCTGTGGGAAAATGCGGTCCATGAGTTTTTTCTTCCCCTTAACTCATGTGGCATTCATACATTGAGCTTCTTGTATCCAAGCTTTTTCAAGCTCCTGCAAAGCATTGAAAAGAGAAACTTTTGCTGCATGCAGTCAATTGGGATTCTCAATTTGAGAAAAATACAGTTCTCAATTGGAATTCAGATTTGATTCTTCATACTTCATAAATATATTGCGATGTTGGGGATATAGTTAGGAGCCAATTTAAATACAGACCATAATTTTCTATTTTGATTATCTATTATTATTTTTTTATTTATGTTTTATTTATATACCTTTTTTTTTTGGTATTTTTATTTTTGCTTGAATCGAATTGACTTATGAACCTGTCTGTGGTGAATGCCTTCAAATAAAATCACCGAAATAAATCAGTCATACAAATAAGTCAACGGTAAAGTTGGAAATTCATGAGCCAAATAAATAATAACTTATATTATAAATACATAGGTATATACACTCGTATATGCGAGTACATATGTTTCCGTATATTGAAAGACCTAGTCAAAATATATTCATATATGCATGTATAGTATATTTATAGTGAATGCACTTGCGCTAGTTAACATAAATACGCATATATATGTATAATATAAATATATGTAGATACATATATACAGCAGCTTTAAAGTGTAGTTATGAGTATTTACTTTCAAAATTTTAATACAAACAAAATCGACGCGTTGATTTGACTTCAAAGTTTTTGCGAGCATACGAATACATATGTATGTATGTATATATGTATCTACACATGTGAGTGTGCATGTGTGCATGTGTGCGCGTAAAAGCGTGACTTGTCGCTGACTCGCTAGACACTTTACAACAGAGTAAATGTTTATGTATATATGTAGGAGTATGTATAACATTTGTCACATAAATTGATAGTTGACGCGCGCGCATGCGCAGCTCACTGTAGGTGTCTAAAGTGCAATTTAATATCTAGATCAAAGCTTTAGGATAGCAGAGGAATTTTTTTTAAATTATTCCAATGATTTAACAATTATTTAGCCGTTTTTTCTCTTTACATAAATATTTAATTTACCATCAAATTGACTAGTTAAAATGGAATTTAAAAAAAAAATCTTTATTGTGCTACCTTACATGCAACCAGCTGCTTTGTCAAGCAGAAAGTTAAATGAACTAACGGTGTTGTTGTTGAATTTACTGCCGCTTGTATAGAACATTAAACATAGTGGTTCGTGCGTATTTTCATAGAAAGAATGCCGCATATGTATTTTAATTAAGCAACTGCGTTTTCGAATGCTTCGAAAATTTATTTTTGGAGCAGATAAACCATTTCATTTTGGTTCTAAAGTTGTATCACAGATAAAAATTGAAAATAAAAAAAAAAACAGACAACGCAATCATCACTCAGGTGTGTCAGTTGCTGGAAATGACGTTATCATCGTACATGCCATGCCATGCAACTAAACTGAAGCGTACGCTTAACGGTTTTATGGTGGCAGTTAGCCACAAACGAAGTATAATTGCTTCATAACATTGTGCTATTTAATGACATTAAATTAATTGGTTGCTATATAAAGTTTTTTTAAATAAATAAAGGTTCTATAAATAATTTAAAAGAGTTCGGCGTTAAAATTTCATATTATATTTCTCTTATTTTTTAACAATTATTTTATTATAATTTTTCTACCGTCATTTCCTCCTTTTTTATTGCAAAAAAAAATTATTTTTAACAAAATTGCATTTACTTTTTATTATTTTTAAATCATTTTATATCATTATATTTCGTTTTATTTTCTTATTTAATTTTTTTTAATTTTTATTTTTTTATTTTTTCCGTTTTATTTTGTTTAATTTCATTTTATTTTATTTTATTTAATTTAATTTAATTTTATTTTATTTTATTTTATTTTATTTTATTTTATTTTATTTTATTTTATTTTATTTTATTTTATTTCATTTTATTTTATTTTATTTTATTTTATTTTATTTTATTTTATTTTATTTTTTTATTTTATTTTATTTAATTTCATTTTATTTTATTCACTTTATTTTTTTCTTCAATTTTTCAATTATTTCACATCATTTCACTTCATTTTTTTGTTTATTTTATGATGATTTTATTATAATATTTATATTTATGTTATTAAATTTATTTATTTCAAATGCAAATTTTACTCTTTCATTTATATTAATTTATTTTCTTTTAACATATTACATTTTTCTATTTCATTTTATTTTTTTTTAATTTTATTTACCAATTTTTATCGCTCTGCGCGGCTTCCGCAATCACAGTTCCGTTTATTTCAACGTTTTCCCTTAATTACTTTGTTTTCCGTCCAGTGCAGGCTAATCTGTATGTTTGTGTTGCAACATCAAGCGCAGCAAGTCATTATGTTGCTGGTGTTGCTGTTGATGGACAGTTGGAAGAAGATGACAGTTAATTGCGTTGCGCGATTTCAACAGCAGCAATCAATTTTTGTAGCCATGCAGCTGGCGGTGTTATTTTAGTTTTTGTGTTTCGCTTTTGGTTTTTTGTTGTATTTTTAATTTGACAGTGGATGGTGCAGAAAGCGGGTGCTTGCTGTTTTGTTGAATTTTTTTTTAATGTTTTAAGGGATTTATTGTTGGATCTTACGTTCATATTTTTCTTTTTTTATTATGTAATACATTATGGTTTTAGTGTAATTTTCGAGATTTATAATTATTTTTTGTCCCCATTCGAACGAGCTTTAAATTGCTTTTTTTTAATAATTCTTTTTAAATTTAAGTTTTATTAGTTATTTAATCAAACACAATCATCTTAGAGCTTAAATTAATTATTTAATTTATTTATTCTTCTTCTGCTTTGGTCATTTCAGCCACATTTCTTATGCTGCCTCTTTTTATTTATTTTTTTACCTTTTGTTTATTTTCCATTTCTCATTTTATGTAATAATATTTTTTCTACTCTTCGTTGGTCACTTCACTTTCACTCATCAGGTTTTTCCTCTTTTTTTCTTTCAATTTGGATTAATTATTTAACAAAATAAAAAGCAAATATTGACATTTTGTTATTTTCACTCACACAACACCTAATAATACCGTTATAATGGCTGTAACAAAAATGTTTTGTGCGTTTGAATTCAGTTGAATTTTCTATGCGTCTCTTAATAACTACAAATAATTCAATTTATTTATTTACGAACTTTTCATCGCTTGCCATTTAGTTATTTACTCTTGTGTATTTTTATGTAATATATTTTGGTTTATTACTTCTGTTAATGGCATTGTAGCATTTTTTTTTATTATTTTTTGTGTTTTCAATTTTATTTATTTATTTAGCTTGATTAATTTTAGTATGTTTTATTTCTTCTATATAATTTTATTTTAATTAATTTTCTTTTATTTTATTTTAAATGATTTTATTTTAATTTATTTTAGTTTATTTTATTTTAATTTATATTATATTATTTTATTTTATTTTATTTTATTTTATTTTATTTTATTATATTTTATTTCATTTTATTTGATTTTATTTTATTTTATTTTATTTTATTTTATTTTATTTTATTTTATTTTATTTTATTTTATTTTATTTTATTTTATTTTATTTTATATTATTATATTTAATTTAATTTAATTTTATTTTACTTTATCATGATATTCTTTAATTTATTTTATTTTAATTATTGTTAATTTTATTTTATTTCAATTCATTTACTATCATTAGGTTTTTCTTATATTATTTTATTACAAAATAATTTTTAATTTTTTTATTTTTTGTGATACCGGCATTACATTTCCTCGCCTGCCTTATTTACGCAAATATTTCCTTCCCTTTTTTCGTAATTACTACTAAAAATATAATTTTAAGCTGCAACAAAAAGAGCAGAAATATGCCTACAACAACATAAAGAATTTTAATTCGTTGCATATCAAAAGTAAGTGGCAATAATGTCATATGTGGCACGTGACTCGCACTCAAACACATATACAAGTTTACGCATAAACAAATAAACACACAGAAGACATCCTAATACTGGCAGAACTTTATCGAAGACAAAAAATACGGTAAGTCAATTTAGAGTTTTTTTTTTCAACTTTTCTGGTGAGCTGCGTACGTAAACTGTGTGGAACAGCTGTCTCTGCAGCAACAACAACAATAGTAACAGCCGGCAGCGTACACATGATGTCGCAAGTCAAAAGAGATGCATATAAATATGCAAAGCTAAAGCTGAAGGCAAAATGTGGTAATTAAAGTATTTACCACATTTTATGGGGCAAAAGATTTGTATGTGTACATGTATGTACGCATAT